TCCGGGGTGGGGGGGTTGTTATACTTAATGATTTCCAAAAAATGGTTTCAGAGGCGCCTGGGTGTCTCAGTTGGTTGAATGTTTGGATGTCGATTTCAGCTCATGTCATAATCTCAGGGTTGTGGGATCAAGCCCTGCATTGGGCTCTGTGTTGAGTGTGCAGCCTGCTTAAGATTCTCTCTCCCTTTGCCCCTCTCCCCTGCTCGTGTGAGTTCTGCCTTTCTCTTAAAAACAAAAACACAAAACAAAAATAGCTTCACAGATCTGTAATTTACTTTTTCAGTCTGGCAACTTTGAAGATGTACCGAAAATAATTGACCATTTTTGTTTTTTGTAGAAAGATGAGGGTTCAGTCCATACCTTAGTACCTAATCACATTTATTTCCATAGAAGATGCTTGTTAGATCAGGGAGGCAACATAGAAGGTTTTGCAGTACAGGTGTGTTAGCAAGGAAGTTCAGAAACACTAGAGGTGGGTAGGAGGGCATGGCAGTGGGGAAGGGTCCTGTGAGATGATCCGGAGTGCCTTCTAGATCCTGTGTGCCATGAAAAGCCACCGCAGTACTAGTATCCGACTAACACAGCTTTGGTCATGACTTTCAGGGTGGGCTTGCCAGGGACGGTGATGGCGGCTACAGGTTGTTTGAGGAGTAGATGACATTCATCTGGTGCGAGGTGGTGAGCATCCTGGTCAAGGAAATTGCAGTAGGACTACAGAGAGCATGTGGGAAGGAGTGTCCTGGGAGGCTGTCCAAATTAAGGTATTTAGGAAGGAAAACCTTCAGCATGTCCTGATGTTTGGGCCCAGCTCCGTTATATCTAGGGCTTGGAATAGAACAAGCAGATACATAGTCCCAAGCCTCATCCCAAGTTTGAGAAGCCCTCTACTTGTAGTACTTTGCAGTAGAGTGTAAGGAAACATAACTGTTGTTCAGAACTTTGTTTCCCATTTTCTTCTTTAGCAATGCCATCTTACTCCTTTTTTAGGGTCATTTCAATCATCCCTGAGCCTCTCAAAAAACATCCTCATATGAAAAGTCCATTAAATTAATTAACTGAAAAAGATAAAATTGCCCTTTAGAAGGTTGTTTTGTTTTATTCGCTATAGAAATGCTTTCTGGGGCACCTGGCTGGCTCAGTTGGTAGAGCATGTGACTCTTGATCTTGGAGTTGTGAGTTCAAGCCCTATGTTGGGGAGTAGAATTTTACTCACAAAGTATTAGCAAAAAAATAAAAATGCTTCCTGTTACAATTCCTACAATTCTTCAGCTACATAGTGAAGAATAAGTAGGATGTGATGGCTTCCTGTCCTTTCCCCTCTCCTCCTCCGCCACAGCCTCGGGTACTAGTCTAATGTTGTTGTTTTGTTAGCTTGCCCCACGATAATTCTCCTCCCTCTTCTTAAAAGCCTCCATGCCAAAGGACAATGTAGAGCATTCTTTCTTGCAATAGATGCTAATTGTGTTCTTAGTCAGGATCTTGCTGTCATTGCCACAATCACTGTACCATTGTGCTGGGAGGCTGGGTCACAGTAGTTATTGTGCAAAGTAGTGAATGCTGTTTACTTGGGATGCATTGTCGCCTGCATCTGTGGGTGAGAACACGCAGTTACTGTAATTTGCCTGGCAAGTGATCAGACATCATCTGTTAAGCAAGTTAGCAGTCACAAAGAGCTATTGATCCTTTTTTTTTTTAATATAGAATTTTAATGAGAAATTTTGAGTCCTAGAGATTAAAGGTGCAGGAGTGGCTACCTTGGGTGTGTTGCATACCAAGCCCTACTTTGCAGTGTGTTTGGGAATCAGGTTTGTGTGTCTAGAAGTTACAGGACGGCGAATGGCAGCCTCGTGGGTCTCTGCTCTGGCTGAGCTTGAGAAGAGCTCACCCTTAATTACAGGTTGGGTAAGTGAGGTGACTGCTGTCAGTCAGGAGTGACGCTGTGCTGCAGGGTCCCCTTCTGGACACTGGTGAATTCTGAAAAGTGTGATCCTTGTGCAGGCGGCTGCTTTCCTCTTTCACTTGCAGGAGGAAGAGCTGTTTTGCATGTAATTGTTGGAATGGGGCGGTACTTACCTCGACGACTCTTGCTGAAATAAGAGGAAACACTTTGCTCTTTGAAATAACCTTGGTGATATTTTGCAAGGCTCTTAAGTATCCCCATTTTGGAGCACATTATTTTCTTGACTCCCACACCCCATCGTTTCTGTCCCTTCAACTGCACTGCCCAGTTTGAAGTGCTCCTCAGCCATCTGCTGGCTCATTAGTGGCGCTCATTAAGAGTGGTCTGGGGGGTGGGGCGCCTGGGTAGATCAGTCCTTGAGCGTCAGACTTCATGATCTCACGGTTCCTGAGTTGGAGCCCCATGTCGGGCTCTGTGCTGACAGCTCAGAGCCTGGAGCCTGCTTCAGATTCTTTGTCTCCCTCTCTTTCTGCCCCTTCCCTGCTCGCTCTCGCTCTCTCTCTCTCTCTCTCTCTCTCTCTCTCACTCTGTCTCTCAAAAATAAACATTAAAAAAAACATTTAAAAAAAGTGATCTGGGGATGCGAGTCAGGCAGTCCTTTTCATACTTGCTGCTTCAGGTTTGGTGAGATTTCCAGCAAATACAGTCCAACTAACTGCTTTATGTGAAATTTAAGCTCCTCTGTATTTCTTATCTGTTCCCTCCTGCCCTGCTTATTATTATTAGTCCACGTCTAAGTGATTGCTTTTTAGAAGAATGGATTTTGCTTAGCAAAGTAATCTGTATGCCTTGAAGGAAGACTATGTGATGTTTGGTGTGACTTACTCAAGTTTTTACGGTTTTGAGGTCTTTTGCATGATCCCAAGAACTCGGAAATAGCAGGGGTTGGCATTTTGGGCCGAGGGAGATACGTTAATTCTGTCAGGTGAAGCAGTGTACGAAGAATTAGATCATTTGCCCATTGTAGGTAAAATTCCTTGTTGTTCCTTAAAGTACTAAATTAATAGTATATATAATCCTACCTTTAAATGTTACATAAGTAATACATGTTCAATACAAAAAATTTGGAAAATGTTTTTTATTAAAAAAAATGCAACAAGTTGCCAGTTCATCTCTACACCTTCCATCAAAAATAGCTGTCATTAAATTTTGTGTCCCTCTCCTGCGATTTTGTATTGTTTTTCCATAATCCTTGGTTTGGATGCAGGGCTGTTAAGAAATGCAGCAGTTCCTTTAAGTTTGTGTCCTGTAAGCCAAGAACAGGTTTCCTTAAATATTGCTTGATCAACATTTTCCATATTAAGTGGGTTGAAAATGAACCTTAGGAAAAAATATGGGACTGTGTATAGGTAACAGTAACATTCCCCACAGTTTTTAAGCTTGAGCTTTTTTGGACACTGAACGTTTATATTATTACAAAACACTTAAATCCTTGTGCAGAAATAGGAAATAGAAAGCATTTCTAATGTAGAAATTCAAAACAGGTTTTCATTATTACACAGGTATATTGGCTTTAATCAAGCTGATTCCTAGGTCTTAAATGAAGGTATCAGTAGGACTCTAATTCACAAATTGCCTGTTTTTAAATATTTTCACCTTCGATATGTGGAAGTCATTTAAGTTATCCTTATGAAAAGTTGCTTTGTCTTTTCATTTTTTTTTTTTTAACCTCTCCCCTTTCTCCTTCTGACAAATTAGCACCTGCTTCCGGATAGCTAACTGCTGCTGTTTATTTTCTGCTTCTGTGACAGCTAGCCGATGGCGGAGTCTCTTCTCTTCAAATGTCTCCCTGGCTTTTCCTTATAGTCCTGTTGCAAGACTCAGCCCTTATAGCAATGGCATTAATACTCCCAGCTTCTCTAAAACCTCAAATAAAGCAATACTAACACCTGAAAGAACAGGTAATATTTCAACTTCTTGACCAGCTGCTTGCTTTATCATTCAGTCACCAAAAACAGCTCACCTGTCCTCTCTTACTGAAAAGTTGAGGGTGATCTTGTGACACAGATTGTGTGCTGCACACTTACTTTGGGCACCGAGAAGGCTAGCCTTCCTTTGTGCTTGAGCACCATTGGTGTGCTCTCAAGTGTGTGCAACAGGCAGTTTTTCTGGTTAGCAAAACTATACGTATATGGCTAGATTTCCAAATGCCTAGTGTGCCTTTAAAATTAAATGTCGAACACAACTCAAGTGTTTTTATTATGACTCAGGAATGTAAACCTTGTATGTCTTAATTTTTAAAATTTTATTTTTTCTGGTAGCTTTTTATTAAGCCAGGGCTCCATAGGAAAAAAAAAATAGCCACAGTAGCTTCTTATGAGATGAAATTCTCACCATTTCCTTATTTGTCTCAGCATTGGTGTGATTCCATTCCTACAGTTTTTATCCCTTTGGGGCCTTTCTTCCTTCATTCTTTTACCCAAGCCATTGCTTTTTTACTTTTGTGGGTGACTTCCCATCTCCTGGGAGTACTGTACCCTCTGTTGTTGAGATTTTATATATGCTTCTGTGTATATATGTGAGCCTTTTACATGTGATGTTCTTATTCATTCATAGCTCTATTTGTACCTGTTTGAAAAACGGACCAGATTATAGTTTAATCTTAAAATTTATAATCCGTTACTACTAGAGAGAAGCATATGTGATTATTAATCAAAAGTGAACATGGAACTAAGTATTCTTCTATAATGTCTTCAGATATATACTTACCTAATGGGATGCAGATTTCAGCACTAGTGATATATATACATTTTAATGTGGTAAAACCATAATTCAATCTGCCCTCTTAACAGTTTTTTGGTGTATAGTGCAGAGTGATTTTTTTTAATTGTGAAAATTGAACCTGAAAAAATATATGTGAATCATGAACATGTGAAGGACGTGCATATTGTCTCGCCATTGAATGGTTACGTGTTGGTCACCCTTCAGTGGCATTATGAAAATAGGAAGAAAATTGCTGATTTGATACAGGAATTGCAAAGCATTATGTAAATATCAGTTCTTCAGACCAAATGATAAACCTGTTTCCTTTGTTTTTCAGGTTACACATCCAGGGGCTCCCCTCTCAGTCCCCAGTCCTCTATAGACAGTGAGCTGAGTACTTCAGAATTGGAAGATGATTCTATCTCCATGGGATATAAGTTACAGGATCTCACTGATGTCCAGATCATGGCTCGTCTCCAAGAAGAAAGTATGTTCTCTTTAAAGTAGGAAACTTCTTAAATTAGAGTCTTCTGCTTGAAATGTGAGGGGATAGGGAGGCTTAGGCATTTCTCCCAAGGTAATGGGTAAGCATTAGATTCTTTTTCTCATGCCTACCCTACCGTGTAGATGGGCCAGTTAATGCCCCTCAGGCTTTCATGGGCATCATAAGTTGTTAGGACATACTCTGGTCAAAATACATGAATATAAAGACATCACTGGTACAGTTACTATGGAAACCATTTGTTGGCTTCTTAAAAAACAAACAAATATGCAATTCCCATAGACCCCAGCAAGTTGCAGTCTTGGGCACCTGTCCTAGAACAGTGGAAATTTTTGTTCACATAAAAACTTATACATGAATGTTTGTAGCAGCTTTATTTGTAACAGCCCCAAACTGGAATGAACTCCGATGTCCTTCAAGAGGTGAATGGTTAATCAGGCTTCAGTGCTCCCATACCAGGGAGTACTACTCAGCAGTAAGAGGGAGTGGACTGTTGATGCAGGCAGCATCTTGGATGAATCTCCCAGGAATTCTGCTGAGTGAAAAAAGATCTCAAGAGATTTCATTCTGTGTAATTCCATTTATATAACATTTTGGAGTGAGAAAATTTTACAATTGATGAGGGTTAGAGACAGGGTGTGGGATCTCAGGAAGGAGGGGGACGTGGTTATAAAAGGGCAGCACAAGGGATTTTCGTGTTTTGTGGATTTTTGGAACTGTTTGGTATTTTGACACTGGTGGTGAATATTTGATCATACAGGTGATAACATTGTACGGAACTTAATACTTCCATATATATGAGTAAAACTGAAAATATCTAAACAAGTTGGGTTTGTATCACAATATCCTGGTTGTCATATTGTTTTATAATTTTGCAAAATGCTACCATTGGGGGACACTGGGCAAAGTGCACAAGAGATCTCTGTGTTCTTTCTTAGAACTGTGTGTGAGTCTATAGTTATCTTAATTCTAAACTCAATTAAAATCCATCGACAAGCTTCTCAGGATAAATATAAACATAGAAGAGATCATTAGCGGTGGGACAATGTATCAGTGGCTCTGCAGGAAAGTTAACAAATCTAGGAGTGAACTACCGCAAGGTATTAAAGGCACAATAAGATGTAGATCACAGAACTGGGCTAGGCTTGGTTTGGAGTTTTATCTTTTCAGGTCAACATAAGTAGAAACAGCCAAGTATCATTTCATTCAAGCACAACAACTTCCTGTTTTCAAAATTAGTCAAGGCTACTATGAGAAACATGGTAATGCTTATGGAGAGTTTGATAAGATCCATTCAGAGGGAGAAAGTGATTGTTTTATGTTGTTATTTAGGAATAGTAAAATAACAGTAACGCTTTATGAAAATATATGACTAGACAATTAATGTGAGTTTCAGAAGTTAGTCAGGGAGAGACTACTTTAAAAAAATTGTGGTATTGACCGTGAGATGAAAGGAATAACTAGAAACTTCCAGTTTGACTATTTTTAGTTGGTTTTCATTTAGGATAATCCAAAACTATTGAAGAGTTGAAGTGTCTGTGTGCTTTGAAAAAGATAATATTAGTAACAAATAGAACAGAGAGGTGACCTTGTTAGAAAATATTTGTACCCCAGGTTTTGAACTTTGCTTTGACTTTGAAAGCTGGGGTGGGGAGCAGGAGGAATACCCCCTGGACAGAGATTGGATTATTTGAATTGTCTAACTTATAACATACTGTTTGTAATGATGATGAATAGCTTTTCCTGAGTATCTCTCCAGATTTCTTAAGGGATCATTTGGGGAAATTGACAGACACTGATTGATGAACTGTAGCAGTGTATTTCTTCTTCATTGGAATTGGGGCAATTTTTTTGCACAACAGGATAGTCTAATCTTAGACATCTGTTTGGTAGGTAAATGTATCTGTTTTCTTGGGACGTAACAAACTATGAACAAGATAGTGGCCTTCATTTGAATTATTTGACAGAAATATTTTTCTGATGCTTAACTGCAACTTAATTTTTGCTGGATTGAGATGTCTCATGAGGTGATACTGTTTCTTGTTCTGTCATAGGTCTCAGGCAAGATTATGCGTCCACTTCAGCATCTGTGTCCAGACATAGTTCCAGTGTGTCACTGAATTCAGGAAAAAAAGGGACATGTAGTGATCAAGAATATGATCGATTCAGTCTGGAGGACGAGGAAGAATTTGACCATTTGCCGCCACCTCAGCCTCGTCTTCCAAGGTGTTCGCCTTTCCAAAGAGGAATCCCCCATTCACAGACTTTCTCCAGCATTCGGGATTGTAGGAGGAGCCCCAGTTCCCAGTATTTTCCTTCAAATAATTACCAGCAGCAACAGTATTATTCACCTCAAGCCCAAACTCCAGATCAGCAACCAAATAGGACCAATGGAGGTAGGTTATATGTGTCCTTTGGTATTTAGTGTGCTTTGATCTTTCATATAGGGCCAAGAAATGGTTTTAATGTCAGTATAAATAATTGCTAAATGTTTCCCAGATTTATTAAGTATATCTTCAAGAACTTACCAGTATGGTCTGAGTTGAAATCTAAAATTGACCAGTTTCTGATCACGTGTCCCAGACTGACAGACGTACAGCTTCAAGAAAACCACCACGATGTGGCCAGCACAGGATGAGTCATGCATATGGGGCATCTTTATGTGGTTGCTAGTTCAGAGGCAGGACGGGCAGGTGGTGCTGGCTGAGTTCACAGTGGAGCTCCGTGGAGCCCATCGCACTGAGCGGTGTCTCCTTTCCTCTCCCGCCACCTCAGTCCCGCACTGCCTGCTCCTGTCATGCGGTAATGGATGGGAAGCATGGATGGTGATGCTTGTGCACATCCCGATTTAGGACAAGTTTGGATGTGTCTTTCCCTCTGACATCTAGAAGTAAGATCTGTGTACCAGGAGGGATACGGAGGCTGATACTTGGCGTGGTAACAGGAAGTTGATCTGCCCCAGCGTCACTGTCAACGTGGTGGGTCAGAGTATGTGTCATTCTCTTGTGTGTTTTTTCCTTTCTCCATATTCACTGTTAGTCTTACTTCCCCAATCCAGGAGGTACAGTCCTTGACCTCCAACAGACTAGGGAGAACAATCATGTAATATTCTAAGCCTGCTATGATTTTGTACCAATGACCGGTCAGATTTCACATGCAAATCCTGTATAATATGGAGAAATAAACCGTATTTATAATTACAGCTCTTAGTTATTACATAGCACCATTTCTCAAAGCTGGGCCCAGGAGTGGTGAAGCAGCCTATTTAAAAGGACTGCAGGGCCAAATACAAATTGTATTCATGATCACCTGTTACCATGTTTCTTGTTTTTACCTTCTCTTCTTCTGTACTTGTATCATTCGTGCTAATTGAGAGATCCTTTGAAACTATTGAACATTTCAGTCATAATTTCTCTTCTAGTATTTCTAGATATCAAATTTAAAAGGAAAAAAAGTGGCAGCTGAGGCATGTCGTAGTAACTAATTTATTAATGCTCTTAATGCCAGAAAAGCGGTGTATTCCATGTGCGTCATGAAAGTCTGCCTCGCTTTGAAATCGAGGAAAAGGACGCCTCGAGTTGTTGCTCTGATGGTTGTCAGGTGTCTTAAAACATCGTATCCTAGTTGCCCAGCAGATGCTGGCCCCGCTGCTTGCTCCGTGTTGCCAGCGGATTGTTGTCTTCCCTTAGAAGAGGGGTTTCACCTTACACCGAGCACCACGATGAAAAGGATCGGTTTCCCTGGACCTGCGCTGTGATGACTCCCATAAGGAAAGCAGAGGCACCCCACAGCTTAGCGTCCAACAGTGGCAGTTTCATTTTTCCTAAAAGGCCTGGGCTCCATGCGCAAAGGAAAATCGAATACGACCACGGTTTTCTGGACTGGACTTGTGGCCGATTAACTTGGGGGTTGAGAGTGCAGGCTCTGGAGTCCAGTCTTGTCCCACCACTTCTGTCTTTCACAGGTCCCTCGGGTCTCCATACACGTTGCTTTCTTTGGCTATTAAAATGTGGGCAAATAATACCTCTTTCTCGGAAAACTTAGGTATAATTTCACATCAAATCATCTGGTACACACTCTTCCAACCTAAGGAACAAATGAAATAATGACCCTTGCACTGCCTGGATGAAAAGTGCTGGGAAAGTAAATAACGACTGACTGTCTCCCCTCCCACCCTCATTTTAAAAAAATGTGACTCAGATAACTGACCCTTCATTTGTTACCATGGAATATCAGTTGAACAAAATTGTGAAATAAGAGTGGCAGCTTTGAAACTAGGCCATCATATTTTTTCTAAATTCCTAAAATAATATGGATAGGAGAGAATAAATTAACGATCCATTTAAAATGACTAAAGGGGCACCTGGGTGGCTAAGCCGGTTAAGTGTCCAACTCTTGGCTTTGGCTCAGGTCACGACCTCTTGGCTTGGTGCTTTCAAGCCCCGCATCTGGCTCTGTGTTGGCAGCGAGGGGCAGCTTGGGATTCTCTCTCCCTCCCTCCCTCCCTCCCTCTCTGCTCCTCCCCCACTCATGCTATCTCTGTCTCTCTCAAATCAACTTTAAAAACTAAATAAAAATGACTAACAAGAAGTCACCAGTGCATATTTATGTTTATTGCTTTCGTAGCTCCAGCGCTGCCTAGGTTCAGAAAAGAGGGCTCTTAAAATTTATGGGATCAGGGTGCCTGGGTGGCTCAGTCGGTTGAGCGTCATGAGACTTCAGCTGAGGTCATGATCTTGCAGTTGTGAGTTTGAGCCCTGCATCAGGCTGTGTGCTGACAGCTCAGAGCCTGGAGCCTACTTCAGATTTTGTGTCTCCCTCTCTCTCTGCCCCTCCCTCGCTCATGCTCTGTCCTTCTCTCTCTCAAGAATAAATAAAACATTAAAAAAAAATTTAAAAAACAGTTATGGGACTATTTACAGGGGTTATAAAATTAAAAGCATATTTGGAATAGTTTTCCAGATGTGAACAATGACTAACTCTTGTAGGAACTTTTTAGGGTATGGCAGGGGTTGTCTGTGGCATGAGGTTAGCACTGTTAGCCCCGGGCCCTCCCTTGTACCCTGTACTGATTGGAAGGCTAGATCTGATTGGTGGGTAACCACATGTCCCCTTTATTTCTGAATACTCTTGAGTCTTTGTTTCCTAGAGTGGTAACTCTTGTTGCTGCTTGAGAAATAATAACATGAGAAGACTCCCTTGAATTCTTTCCTCTGTCTGTTCCTCCAGCTTTCCCTGCTGCACCTCAGTCCTTGAGTGCAAATTGCTGATTTCTTGTGAAGATAGAAATAGAATGTTATTTTTGATTCCTTGAACACTAAAGCATATATGGTCATTAATGTGATCCACATTGTTTGACAGGAAGAGTGTACCTCATTTCCAGATGGTCCCTGACATCGCTTGTAGATGGGAGCTTCACCCAGAGGAGAAGTGTTCTAGATATTGACACTCGGAAGTGTTTACTTTTAAGAGCGTATTTCAGATTTAAAGCTTTGTGAGACTGACTTGCTGCTTACAGGAATAAAGATTGGTTTCTAAAAACAGATACATCTAGATTAATAGAGATTAAAAACACGACAACCACATCTAATGTGTGAACCTTGACTGATCGTGGTTTAGGGGGAAATGCTTATGAAGGACATTCTTGATGGGAAAATTTTGTATGTGGATTATTAAAACCTATTGTTAATTTGTTTACATGGAATGAAAGTATTGTGATTGTACAGAATTTTCTTATTCTTTGGCCCTACCTAAGATTTCAAAGTGCCCGGGTACCTTTAGGTTTAAAATTTAAAAGAAATTGTGGCAGTGGGAAGGTCATAGTGACTAATTTATTATTGAAGCTCAAAATACCAGGAAGAAAATGTATTCCATGTGCTTAATGGAAGTCATGACATCATATTAAAACTGAGGGAGAAGGCATTAGTGTTCACATGTCCAGAGATCTGCAGCTTTTATGTGGCTTCACAGCAAACAATTATGTATATATGTGGAGATGAATTAATTATGGCAAAATGAAAACAACTAGCATATCTAGGTGGAAAACATGCAGATACGACACTGCTTTTCAACACTTCTGTATATATGAAAACTTTTTCAACTTTTTAAGATTTATTTATTTTTGAGAGACACAGAGCAAGTGAGTTGGAGAGGGGCAGAACGAGAGAGATAGAATCCCAAGCAGACTCCTCACTTTCAGCGCGGAGCCCAATGCGGGGCTCGAACTCACGAACCGTGAGATCATGACCTGAGCAGAAACCAAGAGTCGGACGCTTAACCAACTGAGCCACCCAGATGCCGCTATGAACACTTTTATAGTAAATAGTTTGGAAACTTAGAAATGTAGAAACTCAATTCATATTCTAAATGGTAGCATATAATTCTTTCCTTGTGCTCCCTGCAGCTTAAATATATATAGTCAAAGTAATTTAGTCTTGCATTAATAGAAGCTCGCTTTTCATCCAGTTAGTGTGATGTTCAAAAGATCTGGATGTAGACTCTAAGACCAGTCCCTTCTCCCTTATTTCTCCTACCACACACCGTCTGCCAACATACACATAAATAACGTGTGCTGAATGTATTAAATGCCTGCTGCCTGGGGTTAGGAACTTTAACAAGAATTTAGGAATATGAAACCTATGGTTGTGCAAAATAGGCCTCAAGGAGATATTGAGGAAAATGGTCAAGAAAACTAACAGTCAGTGTCAGTATTTGAGCATTATTAACTCTAGAAATACGTACCGGGAATAAGGATGTGTTGTGGGAGTGGAAATACCTCCGCTAGGAGATATACAGAAAAAGTTAGCGAGGTCGACATAATCTTCTTTTTGGTCTCCTCATAGCACTCTTTACACTTTCTTATTTTACTTTCTTATGCTTATTATGTAAGTATACTTATTATACTTGTTTACTTTTCTGTCTTTTCCCTAGACTCCCGCAAAGAGGCAAAAATTGCTGGGCAGGGCTCCAGTGACTGGGTAGAAGTAATGTGAAACAAGCAGTGCAAAGGAGGGGGGAGAAGAGGAGTTTGGTTTTGTCCTTGGACACATTTTGGATTAGTGTTCAAGTATATCATTTGTTTTCCAATTTAGCCTGAAAGAAAGTGACCACAAACTTGAGTGCCCTGGTATGTGTCTGTTGGTGTTTTAGGGCATATGCCAATAAAAATAAAAATACCTTGGAGAGTAGGGGGTGCATGAACAGCATGAGATAGTACCATGGTTTGTAGTCCTGCAGAGTTCCAAATGTTTCAAATGTTATTTTTCTATATAATTTGTTCCATTTGGGAAAAATAAGATTTAACGTTAAATTTTAGATTTTCTCTTTAGGATGGATAATGGAAACAAGATTGAGAAGACCTGGTTTAGACTATAAACTCAGAGTCAGGGACTGGACCTGTGGTACAGTGTGGTCCCCCCGGCATCTTCTGGGGTGCTTGGCATTTAGTATATACGTGGTAAATTTCTGTGCCCTTTTTCATTCAGTCACTCCACAGAGTGGGGAAGGGTGGCCCAGTGGAGGGACAGTCCAGTCTGTGACTGGAGTACGTCACAGATGCAAGAGCATGGAGCACTGGGCAACTTCCTTCATCCACTGCATGGGAGACTAGGCAGAGGGGTGGGAGTAGCAGGAGGTAAGGCTGGAGAAGGATGCGGGGCCAAAACCTCGGAGGGTCTCATGCAGGCCATGCCCAGTGGCTTGGGCTTTCGGATGAAGGTGGCAGCGTGATTGGAAGGCTTTAAGAGGGTGACTGGGTGTGTGCTTGTGCTCTTGGGAGACTAGAGCAGGCTGTGTGGGAGAGGAGGCCGAGGAACCGGGTAGGGGGCGTGGGGACCAATTAGGAGGATTTTGTAAAAATGTGAGTGATGAACAATGAGGTCCGAACCCAATGTAGTGGATGATACATTAACTATTAGGCAGAACTGACAGGACGTGGGAGCGGGGGGTATAGAAGGGAGGTGCGTCTGAGGAGATGGCCCCAATTTCCGGATTAGAGGACTTGCTGGGCAGGGAGGGTGCAGCCAGCTGGTCTGAGTAAGTGTGGAAGGTGCGTGTGTGAAGGGGAGGAAGAAGTGAATCCGGTTTTGTACTTGAATGGTTTTGGCTTAGCGTTCAAATATATCTTTTGTTTTCTGAGCTTGAGCGACCTGTTAGGGGAACTTCAGTTTAGGGACAGTGTGTCTTGTGGTCCTGTGCTGAATTCACAGCTCAGCAGCATGGGGATCTGTGGGCGACTCTCTGCTGCCCTCTTGTGGCAGCATGTGTGCTCAGCCAGGACAATGAAATGGAAGCATTCTCTTTTCAGGTCTCAAGAGGTTTAGTGGCTTACTCATAGTTAAAACTTTCCAGAAGTTAATGTAGTCATGTTGGTGTGATGAGTGGGTATCTCAGAACATGTCAAGTTAGGATTTTAATAATTTTTTTCCCCATTTTTCTATGCTAGCAAGAGATACAGTAGGTGTTAGTTTGGTTCTTTTTTTTTTTTTTTAATTACTATGCAATAATTTCTAGTGTCTTTTAAAACTAAGTGGCTGTTAAGATTATTCTCTAACGTCACTTTGATACAAATTTATCCATTTGTATACAAATAGCTAATTGACTAGCTAATTCCTACTTATTTTTATAGAACACATTTTTTTATTTTTTATTTTTTTAATTTTTTTTTAACGTTTATTTATTTTTGAGACAGAGAGAGACAGAGCATGAACGGGGGAGGGTCAGAGAGAGGGAGACACAGAATCTGAAACAGGCTCCAGGCTCTGAGCCATCAGCCCAGAGCCCGACGCAGGGCTCGAACTCACGGACTGCGAGATCATGACCTGAGCCAAAGTCAGACGCTTAACCGACGGAGCCACCCAGGCACCCCAGAACACATTTTTTTTTAAACAGTTGCTTGGTAGAGCCTTTCTTGGAGATACTAAGTGTGCTTTCTATACAGAAGGTTAATTCTATGGTAGCTTGTTATAGTTCATAACACACATAATTTTTATGTTATTGAGTATAATATTTATATTTATTTTTGAAAGCTCCTATTTTAACTGGCATAAACTTATGATTTTCGACTGAAATTCTTTTCTAGACAAGCTCCGAAGAAGTATGCCTAATCTAGCTCGGATGCCAAGTACAACTGCTGTTAGTAGCAATGCAAGTTCTCCAGTCGCCGTGAGAAACAGTCAGAGTTTTGACTCAAGTTTGCATGGAGCTGGGAACGGGATTTCAAGAATACAGTCTTGCAGTAAGTGTGACAATTTGTAATTCGTTAGTAATTTTTAGTTGTAATACAGTTAGAAAACTATCTTAATATTTCATTTTTTTTTTCTTTTGCAAACATGGCAGGAAACTTCTCCTTGTGACTTTTTAACTTCACCATTACAATTGAGTGGTATTTTCATCAGTGCATATGTTATCAATTAATAATTAGTAAATTATGTTTAATCCTCTAAACCCAAGGATAGCAGTAGAGGCACTACACGATGATTAATTTGTTTGCTTGTCGTATGAACGAAAATAACCTCTTTCCTTGCAGATCTGCTGCTTTCTAGCTATCTCTGCTTGATCCCTTTTCTCTGAAGAAAGCATATTTGTTCAGTCTTGCTCTTACCTTTGTGTTGTTTTGCACCTTAGTGTTATCTTAGCTTTGTTTCTCTCAAAGTGAAGTTATATTTTAGCGTGCAAAGTAGTACTTACCTGCTCCCTTTCAGCTTACCACACAGTCTGTCATTCATTCTCTGGATGTTTTACCCAGCAGTGAGCCATGCAATGAGTGTGAAATCTTGTATTCATATGTTTTTATTTTGTGTGGGGATGTGGTGGTTCCAGGGCCCCCCTCCCATTCCCGCTCGTGCTGTTTACGTGAGTAGTTGGGGTTAAGTCCGACACTGATCCCTGGGAGGCAGACTCACGGTCACAGTCCCAGTGTTGGTACCCAAACGTAGGAGGCCTGACGAATGTTCAGAGTGTGCTGGCCAAGTCATCAACCAGGGTGGTCTGAAGCCCTTCTACCTCAGATCCATTTTGGGGGTTCACGTGGCATTTGCCCCACATGAGATGGTTTTTCATTTCTTATTGTCTTAGTTGCTAAAGACAAATTGACAACATTTACCGTGCACAAGGAACTGTGCTAACCGGTTTATAGCTATTGTCTTACTTGGTTCTGCTAACAACCCTATGAGGTCGTTTCTGTCCTCGTTCCCATTTTGCATTTTGAGAAAACAGATAAAGGAACAGTTTGCACAAGGCCATGCAGGTGAAGGAATAGAGGCAGAAGCTTGTTCTGATCACCCCAGAGTTTACGCTGATCTTTCCCTTCTTTATGCAGCTTGTTGCTGTTTACCTTTGTCCTACAGCCCAGACACATACCCTTTGAAAAGGCTCTGTTGATGACCCTAACAGACTTCCCCATAAACCCCCAAAACATATCTAGAATGGATTAGATTTTTGGTGCTTACCTTTTTCAGTGTGTCATATTTTATGGTCTTTATCTTCCATACTAGATTATCAGCTTAGCTGATTTTCTGTGCCTAGCACCTGGCACGCTGCCTGGTATATAATGAGTTAGCAGTAAACGTTTGAATGAATGAGTAGACGAATGCCATAGGGCTGTATCAGATTAGGGCTTAATCTGTTAATATTGGAATTAATGGCTTGTGTAAAGACACGGAAGACGACCTGTGAAATTTGTTAATGGTGGGAAACAGAGCTACTAATTTCATGTCAGGCAGCTAGGACAATAGGCCAGATGAGATCATGATGAAATTTAACTGAGATTAGTACACAGTTCTATACTTGAGTACAAGAGTTGATCGTATTAGTGTAGACTAGGAAAATACAGGGTTGTTGTTTTTTTTAATGTTTATTTTTGAGAGAGCGCGTGAGTGGGGCAGGGGCAGAGAAAGCGGGGACAGAGGATCTGAAGCGGGCTCTGTGTTGACAGACCGTACCGAGCCTGATGGTAGGGCTCAAACTCCTGAACCATGAGATCATGGCCTGAGGTGAAGTTGATGCTCAACTGACTAAGCCACTCAGTCACTATATTATAGTTTTTATAGTAGCAAATGTAGTAATGATTAGGAATTTTTGTTAACTCTGACTCTGTGTGGCTTAATAGTGTGATTCGAGTCCCAGAAGAACATATGTAGCCCAAAATGGAATGCACACAACAAAGAATGGCCAGTTATGGTCGAAGTGGTCAAAAAATTATGGGAATGTAGAGCATAGAAAACAACTTGAAGTTCCCAGCGACCAAGTCAGTGACAGTTGAAGCCACAGAAAAAAATAATTGTGAAGGATTATAACCAACAGAATAACCACAGGTCCATATGTAATGGACTAAATACATAAATTGAGAAGGGAAAATTCTTTACAGGAGAATTCCAATTCATCAATGTAAAAAAATAAGGTAGAAAAATCGGCATTTGAAAGTCAAACATAATAATGAGAGAAGAAAAATCCTTTAGAGCACTGATGTGCAATATGTCGGTCATATGCTTCTTTCAAATCTTAGGATTCTGTTCTCATTTACTTTTTTTTTTTTTAATTTTTTTTTTAACGTTTATTTACTTTTGAGACAGAGAGAGACAGAGCATGAACGGGGGAGGGTCAGAGAGAGAGAGGGAGACACAGAATCTGAAACAGGCTCCAGGCTCTGAGCTGTCAGCACAGAACCCGACGTGGGGCTCGAACTCACAAGCCATGAGATCATGACCTGAGCCGAAGTCTGACGCTTAACCGACTGAGCCACCCAGGCGCCCCGTCATTTACTTTCATTTGTAAGCATTCTAAGTGATTATTCTTTATACGTTCTAAGTTTATACTCTGACGATTCCTAGTTCTGGACCATTTTACTTTGGAAAACACAGAGGTAAGATAATGTTGGAAAGGCAGCATGATACAGAAAGAAGAACACAGGATTTGCAGTAAAACAATCTGAGTTTGGGTCTTAATCATATGCTCTTGGATAAGTTATATGTCCATTCTGATTCTTATTTGTAAAATTAGGATTATGTCTGTTTAACTCTCATCATTTTTTCTTCTTTTAAAATACTCAAGGGGTTGTCTATTTTGTTTGTGTATTAGGAGAGTTCATAGGATGATTTTCCTGAGTAACTTGTGTAATTTCATTTCAAATGATATTGATTGGGATGTCATTGAGTCTGTAGATAAATTTTAGGAGAATTGGTATCTTCATAATATTCTTCTATTTCATTAGTATGGAACATCTCTTCATTTAGATCTTCCTCACGTCTCTCAGGCTAAGTGTTCATGGCTTTCTGAAATGAAGTTTTAATGCATCATAGTAAAATTTATTCTTAAGTGTTTTTTCAAACTGTAGTTTCTACTTTGCTGATGTTTAGAAATAGTTGATTTTTGCATTTGATGTTGTATTCAGTGACTTTGTTTAACTTCATTTATCGTGATGATGGTAGAATTCAGAATATATCTTATATAATGAGCACATATGAACACTGACACACATATTCTAGAAGGTTCACAAATCCCAAACTGGAATAACCCAGCCTTTCATCACTAGGCAGACAGATTGTGACATTCATACAATTGAGTACTGCATAGTGGGGCAAACATGGCTGAATGTCAAAAACATGATGTTGAGTGAAAGAAGCCAGAGGACATACTGTATAATTCCATTTATTTGAAGTTCAGGGTAGGAATAACCCATCTGTGGTGATAAAGTGAGAATAACTGTTACTGTTGTGGGAAGAGGCATGTGAGCCTTCTGGGGTGCAGATCACTTCCATGGCCTGGAGTGACTGGTGGTGACACAAGTGTGTTCACTTTGAAAATTGAGTACTAGACTTAAGATTTATGCACTTTATGTATGTGTTTCAAAAGAAATTGAGGCAAATTCACATACTGAATTTTTAAATTTAGGCTTTTTTTTTTTTCCCGAGCTGTTTTAGGCTTACACCGAAATTAGAAGTACAGAGCTCCCATACATCCCTGCACATCCCCTCCTTTCCTGGTTTTCTGCTAACATCTCGCATTAGTATGGTACATTCATTATACCTGATGAGCCAATATATTGACATATTCATTGTCAAAAGCTTACCTAACTAAGGAATGGTAGAATTGGTGGGAAAGGAACTTAGAGATTGTCAACCAACAGAAATTTTACTGTGTCACAAAAACTTGGTTGGATCAAAACTATAGCAGAATCTTGCATAGAACCTTTTTTTTTTTTTAATTTGAGTTTATTGAGAGAGAGAGAAAGCACACACGAGAACAGGCAGAGTGAGAATCCCAAGCAGGCTTTGCACCATCAGTGCAAAGCCTGATGTGGGGCTCTAACTCACAAGCTGAGATCATGACTTGATCTGAAATTGAGTTGGACACTTAATTGACTGAGCCATGCAGGTACTTTGAATTGAGCGTGATGAATATGTGTCATCAGCATTCCTATGTATAGATTTCACCTCAGATGCACTTAACATGAAACTGATTTTTTAAGGAAATCATTCAATAGGCATTAAATAAAACCATGGATTTTTTTTTTGTTTTTCTCCCTTTCTGTTTTTATTTCAAAAAGATACTGTATAAGAAAAGATACTGTATATTTTATGGTTAAGTTCAAAATCAGTTAAACTGTTTTAGAAAATGGTGCATCCATGTTTAACTGAATTGCAAATATTAGGCAGCAAAGGCTAGAATAGTTTGTAAAAACAGGCAGAGTTGTATGTGTAAGTTTTCATTAAATCCGTGATTCAGTTTTTTCCCCTTGGAGAAAAGGACTCTACAGTTTAAACTTTCTGCCAAACAGTTCATTGTTTCACATGAAATGGTATGCACCGTTGGGCGTGTAAGTATATTGATGAAATTTTTAAGAGTTCTTACCCAGAGAGTTCCCTTCATTTTACAGATTTTGCTGTTATCAAGATAATATCACTTGGTGAGTGGTTACTAAGTGTTGGGTGCCATTGTAAGGCTGTATGTGGATTAACTCATTTACTCTTCCCACCAACTCTAGGAGATAAGATAGGTAAATGTCATTATGATATTATTCAATCTGTAATAAGCTGTTTGGACCTACTGAGGCCAATAGGTACACCTGCCTTTGTGTCACAGCTGTTAATTGTCCCCTTGTTTTGTTTTCGTGAAACCATCCCCAGAGCACCCATCAAGAAAATCCTCATATCTTCCAAGCAAAGAAACTGTCCCGTGAGAACTCAGGGATGATTCCATTTGTTAAAGGAAAGGAAGTCGGTGTTAGATCTGGCTTTTGAATATAGTTAGTTATAGAAATGTTGCTGATTGATAGGATAGGAGACTGTTGTCAAGAGCGAGAATTTTCGAGTGCTAAATGTGGTCTGGAACCCGTATTTCATTTATTTCTCTCTTTATATTCCCTTTCCGACCCTATTTGTTGTGGATGCAAGGCGCGTTTCCTAAGTTGGACAGCAGTACAGGTTTTCCCTCACATCTCTGTCGTCTCCTCTTCTAGTTCCATCCCCGGGACAGCTTCAGCACAGAATCCACAGCGTGGGCCATTTCCCAGTGTCCGTCCGACAGCCTCTGAAAGCCACAGCCTACGTGAGCCCCACCGTTCAAGGCAGCAGCAGCATGCCTGTATCCAACGGCCTGCAGTTATATTCCAGCACGGGGATCCCCGCGCCAAACAAAGCTGCGGCTTCTGGGATAATGGGCCGCAGTGCTCTTCCGAGACCTTCACTGGCAATAAATGGGAGTAACCTGCCTCGAAGCAAAATTGCACAGCCTGTTAGAAGGTAGGAACCTTTGTTCATTTGTCTCCATCACCTCTTTCGCAGTTTGAAATCGGAGACTGCTGGGGAACCATCCTCACTCTTCCTGTCTCTGATGTGCTGCCCTTTATGGCCTGATGTGTGGCCTCCTTCCTCTGGAAAGTGATGGGGTTGGGAGGGGTGGTCCCTTGCGTGGTCAGGTCTTCCCTTCCTCCCTCATCACTTCACTCCTGACGCATTATTGGCTTTTGTTTTAATTTACCAGGTAAGCTCCATCTCCAGACCTTTTGTGTATTTTCCTTTCTTCAGCTTATTTGTACGGCCTGTCCCCACCCCCGCCCGACCATAGGACTTCACCCACATGAACGCTGTCCACAAGTGCAACTCCACTGACCGTTGTAACTCCTCTTTCTTACCCTCCTTCTCCATTTTCCCCCCAGAGCCTGTATCCGCAGCTGAGGGACTGTAGATTCTACCTCTTCATTAGTTTGTGGTCTGTCCCCTCTAGAACATAAATTGCGTGGGGTGGGGGGGGAAAGGAGTGTTCACTACTCTAAATCCCCAATGCCAAGAACTATGTCTAGCACAGGATAGAACTGCAAATACTTCTGAAGCAATAATTTATCAAAATAAGCAAATCTCAGGCACATGCACACCCTTGCCCACACTCATGCTTTCAAAAGCACCTTAGTGATACTAAGCCAGGGTTAGCTTATGTTGGTAAGTGTAGTATGGTCCAGGTAGGATTTTTTTATTCTTTAAAATTCCAGATTAGTTGCAAGGCACATATTAGACAAGCTCATGGTCACGATGCACCCTTCTTGAACCGGAGATCATGGAGTCATCAGCAGGATTCCATGGGTCAACAGGATTCCACGGAGGTGGGTTGAGGATAATTTGGAAGATGAGACTATGGAGGCAGTAACCACAGACAGCTTCCCCAAGAAGTTAGGCTGTTGAGGAGAGGGCCGGACCATAGTGACAGGATGAAAAGGGATGCGCCAGTAAGCAGTTTTTCCTTCTTTGTTGTCAGGACGTGTAAGTAGTCTTTATTTTTCAATTAGAAGTGTTAGTTTCTGACTTTTTGATCTGAGCTCCTATCAAAAAAACACGTGAAAGTAAACAAAAGTGAATGCCAGAATCCTACTACCCAGCTAGGAAGCGTTTCGTTGCAAACTTCATAAATTCTGGCTTGTTCTGCTCCGGTAAGTGCAGATCTGTGTTTACCGTCACATTTGACGTATACAGGCTATTGTGCCACCTCCAAACTAAGCCTCTGTGAAGGTTGTCACTGCCAGACTATAGGAGAGGTTTCCCCAGAGTTAGGCAGAAACTGGGTAGGATTCATTTTAGATTCTTTGCCAGTGTGATAGGCAGATCCTGATCTGGAAGGTGGAAAATTTCTTCTTGGTAATTTGCTATCTGCATTCAAGGAAGCAACTTTATTTTTAGACAGAGTTTATCTTTTTCTCTCTGATTTTAAGCTATTCTTTATCCTCAGTGGACATTGGTCGTTTTTCACTTCTGTTGCAACTCCTGCACCCACAGCACACATGGCAGTGTGCCGCGAATGGGGTTTCCAGCCGGGGAGCACGGTGCGAAGGTCGGGTGCGTGAAACCCAGGGTGCGCTTGGGAAGGTGCTAGTGAGTTGTCCCTGGTGGGGTGGAGAACGGATGAGAGCGAGCGCTGGGACTCCTGGCAGCATTAACGGTCTGTTTCCTTGTCTCGTCCCTTCAGTTTCCTTCAGCCTCCAAAGCCTCTGTCTTCACTCAGCACGCTGAGGGATGGAAACTGGAGAGACGGTTGCTACTGACGCTGTCTCGCGTACCCTTGAAGAATGGGAAAGACGTGGAAATGAGGGTTGAGTTACCTAGCTGGCTAGGTAACCGTGAACGTCGGGATATTCTTTCCCTTTTGCATTTTAACATATTTACTGCATTGTTTTCCAATGGACCAAGCGCCAGAGACTAATTATTGCACTTAATATTTGCCTGAGATAATACTGCAACGTTCTCAAATCCACGGTTGCAGTATTGTGACACTTAGATCTAGGAAGTTTTTGTAGAACTGCTATGTACCTGAATACTTTTTGAGAGAATTGAGATGTATCAATAATGCTTTCTTTGCCATGAGTTTTTTAAAGTAACTTGTTCTATTTACTTACGTGTTCTAAACATCTTCCCGTTACATGTTCTGTATTTTAATACATTGCATATTTACAACTAGGTTCTATAATTTATGCTTTGAAATTTACTTTTTTATAGTTTACAGGAATTTTATTTTTTGTGCCTATTTCTTTTTACACCTATGTGAACCACTATGGAACAACTTAAATTTTGTGCCATAAAAATATTTTTGTGGTAAGGTACTATTTTTTTAGCTCTAGGGATATATCAGCAAAAATCCACCATACAATTTGAAAGACCTAATTTTATGTTGAATGAGCACAACATAAGCTGAAGCATTGCAAGGAGATAGCCAGACAGCAGTTAGATGGTCTTGTCTTTTTCATTGTTAATTTATTGTCCTACGTGGGTTTCAGATTTATAAAGGCATCACAGGCTCATTGCACTTAATACCTGCAATGTTTGCTACTGTACCACAATTGATTTTCAATACTTTATTACAGAGGATGAGAAACTGTAATGTTTTATTAACAATGCTTCTGGAAATGAATGCATTTTAAAGCAAATAAATCTTTTTGATAGACCTTTTACAAAACCCATTTGCACTAATGAATGCTTTCTTATGGTATATGACTTAATATTTGTTACTGTGTACATTGCTCTTTTGGAATGTTCCGAAATAAAGACTATTTCAGCAATACCAGGTCACGCATGAATGTGCAGCATAAGCAGTATAAATACCATTTCTGTGTTTCACGATAATTGTGAAAGCAGTCATTGTCGCTGTGTATCTCGCACACAGCATTTAGATCTGAGGCAGGTAGGCAGAATACTTACACTTGTGAAAATTATTCCTCTAGAATGCTCCTGATAAGAAATGGGAGGTTTTGGGTCTCAGGCCATCAAAATTCAAGTAGCCTCTGGCCCAGAAATACATATATGGATGAACGCTGTCCACAGAGATTAATATTTTACAGGGGTTGAATTTGAAATACTGTCTCAGTATCAGCAAAATCTTATTATACACTATATCTGGTAGACGTTGGAAAACTTTTCACCTCAAGGTACTAGGGAAAGTTTAGGCGAAGGTTTTAATGGTAAGTTTTAAAATAGAAACTTCTATATAATCCCATCTAGAATGGCATTTAATTAACCTGCAAGGTAAATGAAACGTGAGCTAGTGGAGGGGAGATACCAAGGGGGGGGGGGAGTTATGTTTCTTGAGCACTCCTTTGGTGAGGAAAACTGTTCTAGAGACTTCACGTTCGTTTGTCTATCCCAGATCACCTACTGTTCTTACAAGATAAAGATCCGAGCCCCAGATAGCACATTAACCTCATATAAACATCTAGCTCCTAGTGAAGCTGACTTACAAATCCGGGTTTAGCTGATCTCAAAAATCTGTTTTACCGCTGTGCTCTAGGAGCAGATATCGTTAATACATCTTTAAAAAATGGGTTCATATTCTGAGGAAATTAAAGGATTAAATCATTTGTAGGACAAATATATCTATTCAAAAAAGTCTGTTTAGCCCTTGGGATAAAAAAGATCTCCACGTCTTGGACCTCACATTCTAGCTGGCGGGAGAAACAGTAAACAGTAAGTGAATCACATGATTGGTCCATACTGGTCTGGGAGGGAAAGGAGGTGCGGTCAAAGCAAGAGAAAACAGAGATAGGAAGAGATCACGCTATTAAATGTCATCTGGACAAATCTCATTAAGAGGAAGAAGGAGAATTGGTCCTAAAGTTCCTTCACAGCCTTTCCCCTGGACTTCCACAGAACACAGAGCGGTATCCATCTCAATGGATGCCCTAGGGTCGTGGTTCTCAGTGTGGTCCCCACATCAGCTCTTGGGAACTTATGAGAAATGCAGATTCTCAAGCCCCTCCCCGGACCTGTTGGGACAGCCCTCAAGTTGATTTGCCGAACCTCCTCCGAGAAAGACTTGCTTGGAAGGAGGGAACCGCCTATGCAAAGGTTTAGGAAGAGCAAGGCCAATGTGGCTGCAAGCAGACAGGACAAGGAGGAAAGTAGTAGAGATCAGGGCAAGATCATGTAGGGCTTTGTGGCCTGCAATGAGGAGTTTCATTTTACTTTGGAATGGGAGCTGTGCATAGTTGTGAGCCACAGAGTTCATGATCTGCCTTATGTTTAAATATGCTACCCTGGCATTTGGTGGGAATAGACGAACCTACTTCAGTAATCCAAGCAAGAGAGAAGGAATTGAACCAGGAGGATCACAGTGGAGGTGGTAAAAATGGTCAGCTTTGGAATATGTTCTAAAAGTACAGCCATCGTGATTCTTTATGGATTGGACATACTCTGTTCAGAAATGAAAACAAGCATTTAGGGCTGGCAATCAGAAGGATGGAGTCTCTCTGGTAGAAATGGGGAAGGCCATGGTTCCGGCTGAGATCACTAGAGTGAGTTTAGATAAGAGGACTAAGGACAGACAGCTGGCCACATGTGCTTCTAGCTTATGGGAGTTCCTTGTACTGGGTAAAGACATCCTGAGAGCTTAGTTTTCAAACATGGAGGGGAGCTATGGTGTTGGTTTCACACAGAACCTAGCATGACTTCTATTTATAATAGCTATCACAGTCTAACGAGTTACCACAAAACTTAGTGACCTAAGAGAGTATCTCACAGTTTCTGTGTGTCTGGAATCTAGCCACAGCCTAGCTCAGTCTTCTGGCTTAGGGTCTCTACCATGGCTGCAGTGTGTCAGCTAGGGCTGCAGTCATGGGGAGACTTGCCTTGGAAAGAATCAGCTTCCATGCTTGCTGACGGGGTTGTTGGCAGGGTTCATTTCTTTGTGTGCCATTGACCAGAAGCTGTCCTCAGTTTGTTCCACATGGAATTCTCCTTGGGCAGCTTACAACACAGTGCTTGCTTCCTCTGAACAAACAAGTGATAGGTGCGAGAAAGTGCACCAGAAATATGGAAATTAGCCTTATAACTTGAAGCGATAGCCCTTCCCTTTGCCATAATCTATTCACTGGAAGAAGTCACTAAGTCCAGCCCTCATTCAAGGTGAGGGAATATCACAAGAATGTTAATACCTGGAGACAAGGATCTTACAAGCTGTCTGCAAAATACTGCCATCAACTTTACTAGATGATGTCAATCTCGTTTACAAAATGTCACACTGTACCTATTTGCCATCATTATGAGAATTCCTGTTACTATATACCCTTATTGTTATAATGTCTTTAACTTTCTAACCTATGGGCATGTAGTAGTGTCTCATGATTTCAATTTGCATTTCCTTTGTTGCTAGTTGAGATCGAATACTTTTTCATTTGTTATGTTGAACATTGGCATATCTTTCATGGATTCCTTTCATGGGATATCTTGCCCATTTTTTTGTTGGGGTTTTCTGACTGGTTTGTAGTTCTTTATAAAGCCTGGTCTAAGCCTTTTGTCAGTTATATGTGTTACATCTTCACATTGTGTAGCTTACTTTGTAATTCTCTTGATGGTGTATTTTTATAGACTTAAGTATAGTACCACGTATCATTCCTTTAAGATTAGTCATTTTATAGCTGATTTAAAGAGTATTTTCCTACCCTGGAATCATGATTATATTCTGTATTCCCAAAGCTTTATTATTTTGCTTTCCACCTATAATTTTTTATTGTCCATGTGGTTGTCTAGTTCTAATAACACTGAAAACTTCATCCTTACCTTAGTTTTACTTTGTCAAAAAGCAGATGCCTTTGTGTGTATCTATTTCAACTATCTAGTCTTGCACCAGAACCATATTGTTTTAAACGCTGTAGCCTTACAATAAGTTTCGCTGAATAGCAAAGCAATCTTGTGTCTTATTTTCCCTTGAGAATGTCTTGGTTATTCTTGTCCCTTTAAGCTTTGTTCAAAAATATATATAGACATTCAGTCAGTGACATTCCAGAAAAAAAAAAAAATCCTGTTGGAATTTTGATTAGAATTGCATTGAACTTAGTTTGGGAGAAATTGATTCTTTACAATATTGAGTCTTACAATCCATGGACATAGTCTGCGTCTTTTATTGATCAAGGTATTCCTTAATCCCTCAATTAAAATGTGCAGTTTCCCCCATGGAACACTTGTATACTTTTTGTCAGTTGAGTTTCTGGATAGTTGGTATTTTTATGCAATTGTAAGGGATATTTTTTAAAATTTCATTTCCGAGGTTTTGCATGTTTTATTCAACTTTACATTTATATCAGTTATATTAATTTATGTTTGGAGGCTTTACTTCACAGTTAAATGTGTGAATGTTTTATTTCTTACTTTCCTGTCCTAACTTCTTTCTTTTTCTTGACTATGATCTTCAATGCTGTATTAAATATAAAGGAGAATATTTTTCTCTTTGCTAATATCAAAAAGAAAGCCTTTCTATTTACCATTAACTTTCAAATTTGCTAAGAGAATTTTTAATTGTTAAGAGTGAATTTGAACAACCTTTATGTCTATTAAAATATCTTAGTCTTAATATGCCAACTTTATGACGGATTTTTTAATATTGAATCAACTTTGAATTATTGACATAAATCCAATTTGGGACACTTTATTCTTTTAAAAGGTGGATTTGATTTACTAACGGTTAGGGGTTTTGCTCAGTATTTTGAATACGATTGATCTGTATTAGGTTTTGGAATTACGATAGTGTTAGGCTCATAAAATGAATTGGGAAGTACTTTATGTTCTGTCTGGATGAGCTTGTGTAATACTGGCATTACTTCTCTCTTATTTTTTTAAACATTTTTAATTTTTATTTATTTTTGAGAGAGAGGGAGACACAGAATCCGAAGCAGCCTCCAGGCTCTGAGGTGTCAGCACAGAGACTAATGTGGGGCTCGAACTCACGAGTCATGAGATCATGGCCTGAGTCAACATCAGATGCTTAACTGACTGAGCCATCCAGGCACCCCTTATTTCTCTTACTTTTAAAACAGGTGATATGGCTCAGTGGTGAAGCCATTGTGGCCTGGAACCCAGGTCTGTTTTAGAAACCTGGCATTGTGTCTACTTATTGTACTTCCCCAAGCATTATGAGAAAACCCACCTCAGTGGTGGACATCTATATACCCCTCACAGTTCTAATTTTGCTTCATGTCTTTTGAGGGCATAGGATTTGGTGAATATATATTTAGGTATTATTAGAACATTAAACAGGTTCACTCTGTTATTGGAACTATTCTTATTTTTTTTAAGGTCTCAAAATCTATTTTTCTGATATTAAGTAGCTATATCAGCTTTGTTTTAGTGTTTGTAGGATATAGATTTTTAAACCTTTACTGCCAAACTTCTATCCTTTTTATGTGAGAAAGCATATAGTTCAGTTTTTAACTTAGTATGAAAATCTTTGCCCTTCTGCCTGAGTATTTAAGCCATTAGTATAGAAAATTCCTGACATATTTGAATATAAACGTACCACCTTCTCATGAGCCGTTTGTTACGTGTTGCTTTTCTCTCGTATTAGTTTGAAAAGTATACCCTAATGCTGTTTTGCCATCTGTAGTGGTTCCCCAAGGAATTACAATTTTCATTGTAACCTATCAAAGAATATTCAGCTTAACATTTCCCATCCTCCTAGGCAAAACAAGGACATCCTTACATCTAATCTAGTGTCATACTAGACATTAGCCTCCCGACACCTAATCTCTGTATACGCAATATAAGTCTCAGCCAGGGATTGGGGAAGGAAGATCA